CCCCACCTTCAAGGACTCTTTAGCTATTGAAGTTACCAAACTTTGGCAGCCATTTTCTCGCTCTTTTTACCGCTGAAACCAAGTGAACTTACCTCTTTCAATCACAAATATCTTCACTTCTGCTCTAGATAGATGGGTATTTTTTTCCCCATTAAGCAAGATAAATGAACAAGCTTTAAGATGATACCAATCTTTTGCCTTTCTTCCCACTTTGAAACCCTTCATCTCTTTCCCCCTTTTCCACAAACCCTCTCACTTCCCTCCTGCCAGACCCCCCTCTTTGCCTCACCTTCTCGCTTCCTCTTCCCCTTTTCAAAACCCTCACCTCTTCAGCTCTATTCCACAAACCTTCTCATTGCCCTCCTGTTGTCTCCCCCTCTCTTCCAACCACCCCCCCCTCCTTTCCCTCTCCTCCTAGGTGAAGGGGACTCCAGACCATCAGTCAGGAATTCAACCTCCAAACTTTCTTGTGCTCTGGTGTGGTTTGCTCCTTCTTTCCTATCAAACATCTATCGCCCTTATCTCCCCTCCTTCTATTTTGTGTTTGTTACTCCCTTGTAACACCTAATCTTCAACACTTATATGACTGTATTGTGTTGCAAGTGCTGTAAAACTCTTACTAAAACTAAAAACTTTCTTGCCTCCTCCCCCCCCCCCCCCCCCCCCCTCCCAGACGGTAGCTGGTCAGGGCATTGACAGACATCTTCTGGGCCTGAAACTGACCGCCCTGGAGAACGGGATGGACATCCCACAGCTGTTCATGGACCTGTCCTTCAAGGAGAACTGCCACTTCCGACTGTCCACCAGCCAGGTGGGTTCTGGTTACTGTCTTATTAACCCCTTTGTGACCTATAGGACGTCCGTACGCCATTTTTCAGTTTTCCTTGTCAGTGGTTGGCGGGGGTGCTCTGGTGTTGTTTGCTCCTTCTTTCTTATCAAACATCTATCACCCTTATCTCACCTCTTTCTTTTTTGTGTATGTTACTCTCTTGTAACACATCTATTCTTCGGCACTTATATGACCTTATTGTGTTGTAAGTGCCGTAAAACTCTTGCTAAAACTAAAAATACAGGGAGCTGCTGGGATGTACAGCATTCATCATGCCTTGCGAAGCGCGAGGACCATGATAACGTTGTCATTGGTTGTATTGTGTTGTGCATACTGTTTCTCTTGGATGTATTTCGTAAAACGTCGTAGATTCACATTCGTCTATATTTTTTTTTTTAATCTTCTTTTTAAAAGTGTGTGTGTGTGTGGGGGGGGGACTCTGTGGTCTGTAGGTTAGGTGTTCACCTCTCATTCAATAGGTCCCGGGTTCAACAGAAAATTTTCTTCTCTAAAGTTGTCTCCTTTGGACTTCTTTCCTGCTCTCTAAAAATGTTCTGTTGTCTGCTTTCGTCTCCATTTTCTGCCCCCACCGCCTCACCACCTTTGCCCCCTCCTCTGGGCTCCTGACGCTTTCTGCAGCCTTTCTACTGCTACTCCTTGCCTCCTTCTTACCTCCCTGATCTTATGGTAGGCAGAATCTACACCTAGCCTTCTCAGATGAGGATGAAAATTCTCGGACGTCCTGTGTGCAAGTTGCGCACGTTAAAGATCCCTTAGTAGTCAAAAATCGATAAGAGTAATCTGCTGTCGCTACCCAGGCAAAATTAAAAATTTCCTACCTACTGAAAATGTTTAATGTGCTCCGTGCTCGTATGACCTTTGCAGTTACCAACACTGTAAGACACTTACCCCCCTTACCCCCCCCCCCCCCAAAAAAATGGTGGTATTTATAAACCAGGTTTAATTATAGGCAAGTGACCCATAAATCTAGTGCTACTTTTTGTCGCTGAGGATTCAAAACTGCCTGATGAAGCATGAATGGACCCTGTGGCATGAAGGGGTTAAGATGAATGCATACAGTAGACGATGACTGAAATTTTATCTAACATATTGTCAGCCAACTGTTCAGATGTTCAAACCCAAAATTTGGACATTTATTTTAATTGCGGTTTCTTAATCTATGATATGGGTAGCAAGCGCTTTGGAAACAATTTATGAAAACTTTTTTTTCTGTCTCTGTTCTTGTTGTTTGTCAATTATGTGGCTTGCTTAAAACATTTACACTAACACTCATAATTCTCAAATTGTAGCGTATCCACGTTATCCCATAATCCTTTTTTCTGTCTCGCTCTGCTCTTACTGTTTGCTGTCAGTTGTGCGGCTTATTTTTAAAACCTTTACACTGACACTCACAATTCTTTTACTCCCCCAGGTGGCCTCCAAAAGCTCCATCGTGCTCAACTTTGGCCCGGTTGTCCCTGACGGCTACGGCATCTGCTACAACCCTCAGGAAGACCAGCTGGTCCTGTCTGTGTCCTCCTACAACAACAGCCCGCAGACCAACTCGGAGGACTTCTCAGAACTGCTCCGGCAATCCTTCCTCCAGATGCAGAAAGTCCTGGCAAGTCAAGTCCAGTCAAAGTTGTAGTAGTAATTTGTGAAGATGCTGATTATTTGATATGCTAGATTGAATGTGTTATTGTTTGGGGGGGGGGGGGAAAGAGTGTCTTGTGATTTCAGTGCTTTTTTTTTTAAATTTCTATTTTTTAAATGTTTTGTGACTAGCACTAGTACAAACCAGAATTAACTGTGTGATATATCCCTGCTCTTGTTTCGTCTTTACTCTTGGTGTGTTATTGCAGTGAAGCAATATTTACAAGTAACTGTTGAAACAGTTAATCAGTTGTGCTCTATTGTTTCTACAAGTACAAGTTCCATCTGAGTAAGATTTCTTCAAGCCATAACTAGATTGTCGTTAACTGTCTTGAAGTGAGTGTAGTCTTAAGTTCATATATATTCCTCCAACTTGAAATGTGTTCTCAGGTCGGAAACAATTGTGATGTTATGTCTACAAGGAAGAAGATTGTGTAGGTGAAAAAATCATGGCAAATTGTGATTTCTAGTCCACCAAAATTTTCTTGCTTCCCAGGAAACCTTGTTGTGAAATCATTACGTGATTACATGACATATGTGGCGACAGACATGATGAATTTTTTGCATGGAACATAAGAGACTAATTTCTTGGTGGATCACTATGTGACACATATCAGACATTAGACATGTTGAAGTTGTCACACCGTGACAGTTGTGTGTATGTGATTTTATTGTGATAAAAGTTATACTGAGGCCCAAAGGGTTTTTTGATTGAGTGACAAAGATTATTGTGTGTTGAACGAGTCTGTGGGAATGCTGATTTGTGTAAGAAGTATGAAGTGTACAGTGCAGTAGTGCCTGCATGTTTGAGCAGCTATCTGAAAGAGGTGTCTTTCGTTTGAAATAGAAAATCATAATATATTACTACTTAAACTGATCTCTGATAGTTATATAATATCACTTTAATTTGACACGTTTTGGGAAATTCGGTTTGCAGCGGAAGGTACAATACTTATTATACACTATTATTTATCGAGGTTACAAAATGCAATATCACACACATACAATCTTACAAACTAGCCATTGCTGACTGTCACCAAGCTGCACCCTGCCTAGGAGGTAAAGCTATCATGTTTTGCTCAGGGACACACCCCAGTGACCACCCATCTAAACGTCGTGTCAGTGAAATTGTATATGATTAATAAGGCTCTTCACTATTGCATGCTTAAGACATGAGTTCAGTTTCCATTTTTTAAATTCCATTTTATCGAGTATCTCTTGTCTTTCTGTTGAGATGCTGTAAATCCCTCTCCGTTTTGGTTGGCTTTGGCAGACAGGGTCAGAGCAGTCCGCCTCTTATATTATTTGTGTCACAACACGATGGAATCAGGTGCTCGTCTATTTTTGTGGAGTTATTGGCATCGTCTAAAAGTTTATTCATTTGCCTTGCTTTCAATTTTTAAAAAATACCTATCCATCTTGAACTGAAGTTGAGACATTTGCGATTAAAGGAGGTGGGGGTCACCTGGTTTCGAAGGTAAAATTAGCGAGGAAATAGCCGCCAAAGTTTGGTAATTTCAATTGCTTAACAGTCCTTGAAAACTGAAAATTTATATATTTTGATTTTATACCTTTAAGAGTTTAAAAAAAAATTAAATTCACATTGAAATGTGTTGTTATATATAATGATATAAAAGGTGTTGAGCCAAAAACCAAAAATTCAGTAAAGATGTGCAGACTCTCAGGCAAACGCTTGTTTCTTTAATTTCATTTTCATTATTTCGATGAGTGCCTGATTTCACAATGATGCCTCACATTTATCTAAACTGGGTTGATGGGGCATTAAACATTTTTAATCATTTACAGATTTCCTGGCCTTACACGCATAATGTGAACCTGTCAGGATGTTTATGATCTCTGGTACTTTGTCCATTTGGTTATATTGTATCTGGAAACAGTCTTGCCGTTTTAAACCCATGAATGATCATAATTGCACCAATGTGCCCCTTTTTGACTCTGTCAAGAAGAAATGTGCATGTAACTTGGTAAACATTCAATAATCCTTCGGAAATTATTCCAACTGCTGAGGTGAGACTGGTGTGTATTTGTTGAACAATTGGTTTGTGTTTTTGTGTAGTGTATGTGTGCGTTTAAATATTGTGTTCTGTTACGGCAAGATGCACATCTGCGTTGTTTGTTTGTTCATTTGTATGCATTTTTGTCTTCTCAGGTCAGTGCAGCGGAAAGTTGAAGATTATCTAGGTCAGACTCACATGCATGTGAAAGCATTTTCTTTCCAGGTTTTTTTTGTCACAGACAAATTTTTTTTCTACTTTCAGAAGTACTCCATTATTGTAATTAAAACACTTTTTTTTTTTTTCTCCCCCACCATTTTCTGCCACCCAGACTCTCATCTCTCATTCAGGGATTGCAGATTAATTCTAATGCTTTTTTGTTTCCAAACCTCTTACATAAGCTCACAGTTCTGAAATTGACATTATAAGCACACATGATTTTACCATTATACTGACTTGTTTTTTTTCCATGATAGGAGGGCCTCATGTTATTACTGTGCTCTTAAATTCTTTCACTGTTTTTGAATAGGACAACCAATTTTATATCCCTTCATTTGAATTTCTGAAGCTCAGATTCATTGAGCTTTTAAACGATACCCACCACTCACTGTTGTGATGTTTTTTGTTTGTTTTTTTTTCGTTTTATGTCGATGCATGTGAATCATTTTTAAAAGGAATATTACTGCACATTTCCTTCTTGTATCAATATTTTTTTTAATTTTGGGAGATGGGGGTATACACTATTGCCACATCACTTTTTTTGCAATGCCATTCTCTTTTTGCTCTTTGCTGTGTTTTCTGAAAGACTGATTTTATGAACTGTTTGTATTCAATAGTGACTTGAAAAAGTGTCAGATAGGTAATACTGTCGAAAATTTTAGATGAATGCACCAGAATCACTATCTGAATAATTGTTTATGACGCTCGAGGGTATGCCATCATAATAATAAAAAATAATAATAACATAGATAGATTGCTTTTATATAGTGCATACAACTGGATTAGAAAATATGGTTTATGCACTGTAGGCCTACTATTTATTTATGCAGAGACACACCCTGTAACATTCAGAAACATTCCAAGTTTCCTGGGAGACATTCTGTTGCAAATTGCCTTTTATTGACGCTCTCACTCTGACATACTGACAAAATCTTACATGGTTTTTAGCCAAATGACCACAGCCAAATGACCACAGTTCTCACTCTCCTGGGTAAAGTTACGCTAATCTGTGCACACTGCCTTTCCCAAGGGCTGGATGTCGGGCCCAGAGCTGGCTTTGGAACTAGGACCTATGGCTATGAATCATGCTGCCGAATCACTAGTCTATCTATGCAACATACCACTAGTACTTTCTGTTTAGATCCAAATAGTTTGTGGGGAATTGGAGACTTTCTCACATTGGATATCGAAAGAGGGAGAAAACTGTTAAAACAGAAAAGAGATAAAAGTGTAAAAATGAAAGAGAAATTTTATGGAAGAGAGAAAAGGTGTTAAATGAAAGTGTCATTATCAGTGCGTTGATGTCTGCCTTATTGCAATTGTAAGAATAATTTGTAAAAATGGGTGTAATTTTTTCTTGTTTACTTCATTTGCTACTTGCTGTGTACATAAGATGTGCTTTCAGGGGTCTGTGGCTTAGCCCTTTGTCATTGCACACAGGAGATGTAAGTTCGATTCCCTTTAGGGAAAAAATTATTGCACTCGAGAATCTCCATCTTTCTTCTGGGGTGCTGTATCCCACGTGGCCCAGGTTGGCTCTGACGACATGCAGATTGGAAGCTGCCCACCTCTTAGATAATCTACTTTGTATCAATAGGGGCGTAAACCATTTACAATTTACCCTTTGTGCTTGGTTGTTGCACTCCTGATGAGATTCAAAGTGTGTAACCTATGTGGACTTGACGAAAAGCAAATGGTGACAACAAAATCTCTACAAGTACATAAACTTTTTTTTGTGGAAGGTTTTTTTGGTAAGTATTTTGCGGGGCTCTCAACTGCATAAGGTCATATTTTTGTTGTGTGTGTTTGAGTCTACTTTGGGACGTACATCATGTCAGCTGCCACAGTTTGTAGGCTACTCGTTGTTTGAAGAGTTAGTGTTGTTCTAGTACCTGATTTACAGAGCATGAATCGGGGATTGTCTCCTGTCCTTTGTATGTATTTGTGCCCAGATGCTAAAATTTCTAGAGAGGTTTTATAATGTCACATTTCTCGTTTCAACTATTTCAGCACTTTCTTGTCACTTTTCCTCAGCATTCCCTATTTAGCTTCTTTACACAGATTTCTTACTGTAACTCTTGACTCTTGGGTAACTTGTACGATGACTTGATTTCGTTTTCTCTGTTAAAAATGTATCGAAAGCTCAGAGTTGGGATGCAGGAATTTATTTGATTTTATTCTTACTTTTCCAATCCAGCGGCCATTTGGGTTCTAGCCCTTCGGTCTGAGATTTTTTTCTTAACCTTGCTGACACTATCAGTATAGATCTATGGGGAGTGGTCACTGAGTGAGAAGAGTTGCAGGCAATATCGAAATGGAAGGGTGTTTACAACTTAGGTACATTTTCAATGTTGACCCAACACACTCATAATAACAATGGAATTTTACTGACCCATGATCTATAAAATAAAAACAACTTTTACTATACTTACAAGAATCGCTAGCTTCCAATGAGAATTCTCATCTTCTTTTTCTACAAAAGTTTTGTTTTCTCACAGCTATTGATCTATAGAGTTAACCCTCTTTTGGTCTTTATCTTTGCATTGCCGTCATTTCTTTTATACCCCGATCAGTTTTTTTACGGTCGGAATGCTGCGCGTCTCTGCCTATAACCCCAAGTAGTGTCAACAGGGTTAAGTACAAATATTGTTAATGCTGTGTGTTGATGCAGATTTACTTTTCTAGGAACTTTGAATACCTTTTCTTGTTGGTGTTTTTTCTTTATTTAATTGTTTAGTCATGACTGTTCCGTATAATGGCGAAATTATCCAGAAAACATACTGGATACTCATGACAAATTCACAATGTTATTTTCTTTTTGGATGAAAGTGAACTACGCTACAGTTGAATACTATTGTCTAGCTTCGTTATGTTTTGTAACATAATTTCAAGACAGATCAGATTCAACAATTTATTGTACTATAAAAAGGACAAAAATTGGAAACTGAATTATACTGATAAAACCCTAAGACAGTCAGATGTATGTGGGGTTTTTATATAAACAAAAATATGTATTCCTGATTTTTCCCTTATAAAGCTGTTGTGTTTGGATTTGCTGTTTCTTCTGTTAACTAACTTTTGAGGACAGTGCTCTGCTTGATGCTGTTGTGTCACGACACGATGGAATCAGGCACTCGTCAATTTCTGGGCTTATGGAATTATTGGTATCATCTTAAAGCCTTGCTTTCGATGAAAAAATACCCTTCTATCTTGAAATGGAGTCGGGATATTTACAATTGAAAGAAGTGGGGGTCGCCAGGTGTCGGTTGTAAAATTAGTGAGAAAGGGGCTGCCAGAGTTTGGGGATTTTCAAAATTCTAGTGTCCCTTGAAACTGCAAATTTACATTTTTTTTGCTTTTAACCAGCATCCACACCGACTTTTGTTTTGAAATGGATATAAAAGGTATTGAGGCCTGGATAAATATTTTTATAAAAATTAAACCAGTGGCTGAAATATGTCACGTTTCATCCATTTGATTGTTTCGACGAGCGCCTGATTTCACCAAGACTCAACACAATTAAAATGTTTTTGCTAATAAATTATAGAAAATATTCTACTTATTGGAATGATTTTTATAATGTAAATGTCCTGAAGTTAAACCATTGGTTGTGTATTTCTGTTGAGCCTTTTTGACTTGTGGGAATAAAATATTTCAATACCTCAATACTGATGAAGTAAGCGTCGTCTTTGAAAGATGTTTTTGTTTCAACAAACTCATGATCCTGAAAAAAAAAAAATTTTAAAGAAGGGAATTAAAAAAGAACTTTTTAGCACTGTTTGTGGGAAATATATTTAGTTCAGTGCTGTACTCTGAATTTATCATCTATTTCTGTTATTAATTTTTGTCTCCCTAAATGTCTGTTGTAGAGTAAGTTGTTGTTGTGTCTTTGGTTGTCAATCGTTATGTTACCTCATTCCTGTTGGTTGTCCTTTGTCTTTTGGCCACCAGCATTTGCACCTGTTGTGTTTTTACCATTTGCAGTGTCAGCAGGAATTAACAGACAGACGCCATTGCTCCTTAACAGCAAGCACCAGCTACTTCTCTCAACTGATGCTAATGCAACAGGATAGGAGGACTGCTTTTTGGAATGTTTTGGTATTATACAATAACAGAATTGGAAATATTAGGATTTGATAAGGGATGTTCCATGGGAACTCAATTGGCCCCTTTAGAAAAGATAAGAAGAAGTAAATTGTGCCCTCTTATTTAGAAGTACATGTACTTTGATAGTTTGAGGACTGCTAAATGGATTTCAGTAGTTTTCTGGAATGGCAGAATAAATTTCAGTTGTCTGTTTGAGAGGTTACAGGTTTCATTTCCTGTATGCGTCTGATTCATTCGCTTTCTCTCATTTTGCATAACTTGCCATCTTTCACTTTCACCTTCATCTTATTCTTTATCACCATTTCTCTGCTATTCTCTCCATCTCTTCCTCCCTCCCGCCTTATCTCAATCACCCTCTCTCCTTATCCATTTCTCCTCCTCTCTCTCTCTTAAAATATCAGAGATCTCAGATTCCAAAAATTTTGTTTCTTGAATGAACTTGTATTATCTGTGTGACAGAAGCAGTTTTTTATATGAGCTTTTCAGCAATGGGCTTTGGTTCTGAGTACAAGTTGTTTTATTTTTTTGTCATTTTACGTTGACTTTGAGCCAAATTCCTATAGTGTGCATGTTAATAAGAGAGTGAAATGGATGATAAAAATGTTGAGTGATTGGTTAGTTAGTTATAGGCCACAGTGCGGTCAGTGGAAGAAAAGAAAAAGGTAAGATCTACCAGGTATACCTTCCAACCAACCCCAAACTTGGCTGAGCGGTACAGGGTATGTGTATTCAGGGTGAGTTTTATCTCTCTGGAGAAAGTGATACTTCAACTGTGCTGATTCTCAATGATTTAATAGGCCCCTAATAACAATATCATGTGTTTGTGTGTATATGTCTCAACTAGACCATACATTGTAAAGACCTTCAGAGGCTCCTTTCTATGCTTTGGGGCAATATATAGATCTATCTATCTATCTATATATATATATATATATATATATATATATATATATATATATATATATATATATATATATATATATATATATATATATATAAGTAGGCCTACTTGTTAAATCACATGAGATTCAATGAAGAGTAAGGTGCAGAAATTAAGAAAAAAAGCAAGGTCATCTATTCTATATCGCAACATGCTGCAAAATGCAACTGCAGTCGACTCGGCTTGTGTTTCTCTTCAGTTATTAAATTGATCTTTTTCTCGGGTTCCAGCTCCTCTTCTTCTTTACAGTACAGAGGTCCCAATAGATGAGTTGAACTGATTAGTTGATTATTTTTTTTCTCTCTCACGATGACATCAACTCATCTGTAGTCTGTCCCCGTAGAATTATGCAAATTTAGAAGGCCAAATTAAGCACAAAAAAGCAAAATTATGCAAAAGTTATGCAAGTTACCATAACACCATTCGCGACATGTTTTGCACTTTTTCAACTCCCAAGTTTCACGATTTTCATGTTTTATGTACAGAAAAATTGAAAACAGAACCTATCAGTATCAGTAATTTGTCATGTTGTTATTTGGAAAAGAAAACAGTAGTCGACTGTGTTATTATACATGTTCTTTCTTTTAAGTCCTCAATTATTTATGGATGTCCATTCTGTATTGTCTTTTGCTTTTATGGTTCTGGCTCATGTACAACTACTGCAAGCTGTCAAATACAGTCGAGAGCAATATAATATGCTCTCCTTTTATCCTCTGTTGACCTTTGACTTTGTGCCAAAGCCATGAGTATTTTGTTGTCTTATCATCTTGTGGAGCAGGCTGGAGCATAGAGTAGAGGAGTCCAGAGAATATGCAGAACAGAACTAAGCTTTTACCAATTTTGTAGTACAATCTTAGTACTCTAGGAGATTGTTATTCACCTTTTTGCAGTTATGAAAATTGTAAAAATTGTCTCAGAGGGCAGGACAATCATTGCCACGAACAATGCAGTCTAGGTTGAGATCTGGAGATGATGAGCATATTGTGGGTAAAGGCTTGCAGAAATGCTGTTGAAGGCAAAATTTGCATCTCAGTCCAAAAGCAATTTTGTTTGTTTGGTCCACTGAACTAAGTATTATTTGGTTACTCAGTCGCATTTGCAGGAATTATTTAAATCACTAGATTTAAAATACAGAGGCAATTATATTTTTTTGTTCAGTCGAGATATTTACTTTTAATATATTTTCATTCAGTCAATCAAAAATGTTTATATTGTATATGTAGCGGTTTTTTTAATATGCTGTAAAAAAAGCCTATCCTTATAGATTGAAACTGGCTATTTGCGCATTTTGAGTTGTATTTTTGTTTGTTTTAGTATGAGCTGAGGAGTCTATATCCATAAGTTTTGTCTTTTCTTTCTTACACAATTTTTAATAACCAGTATTGCTTAAATTTGTTTTTGTTTTGGTCTTATGTGTATAGTATAAGATGAGGATAAGACAAGGACAGGGATAAAGCAGATCTCTATAAGGAGAAACTTTTTTTTGTAGACTTGCCCCACTTTTCTCTGATAGATCAGAGAAGGGTTATATGACTTTTATTCTATATATTTCAGTTTAGCCATGTACTTGATCTTCCCCCTAAACCATTGACTTTCTCCTGTAATGAACTAAGCAGTGTAGAAGCCTATCTTTGAGGTGGGTTAGTTATAAACCATTGCTCAAGAACACATGACTGTAGTTGCTTTGGTTGGTTGGTCGCTTGTCCAGAGGCTGAGATAGGAAGGAGTGGAAACGATATGCACCTAAAGGTACATTATTATGCGTATACATTGCCGCATGTTCCCACAGGGGCTGTGATTGGGGAAATACTTATATTACTAATTATTAGTATTAGAGCTACTGGCTCTCTGAATACTTTGTAATAAATTGCATGAGGGTTCAGAGAGTGCGGGTATGTGATGTACCGTATTGTACACTACAAGATCAAGTTAAGCTCCTCACCATTGATCACTGAAGATGCAAGTCGTTTCCTGTGTAAGGATGTTTATTTTATCTGACTGATATCTTCGTCTTTCTGCTGCTGCTGTCCTGTATCCCTCTCTGTCTTTGTTGGTGCTGACAGGCATGGTCAAAGAACCTACCGTCTTGATCAATCTATGTCAGTAGCATACTAGAGCTAGCTTCAAGATCATGTGCATTTCATTTATTTATAGGAAAATTTACACATTTCCCCCATGTTATTAGCTGTTGTATTTCAACTTGGGGAAAAAACAGCTACATGATCTGAAATTTTAAAAAAGTGATTTTTGACAAAATGAGGCGTATGGGTATGCGTTTCTTGTACGTCTCTTGCCGTTGTTGATATTGGCAGGAAATGATAACTCTCCATTCAGAGGAACAGGGTTCACTGATGTGTTCAGTAAATCCTATTAAAAATAAACTGCTGTCTAGACTAACTTGAACTCCCAGCACTGAATGTGTTTGTTTTTATTTCTCTTACAGAATCTGTTCCTTCTCTCTTATTGTTATGATACATTTTTTAGATTTTCCATCTGTGGTGAAATGCGACCATTTGTCTTCTATGATTGACTGCAAATGCTCCTGTCCCACTGACACAATTTATTAAATAAATTTTGATTAGGATTAAGAAGGGGGCATATTCAACCCTACCTTTCAGGGTGAAATAGGGCTGAGTGGGATACATCCTAGTAAACAGGTGGTGATTAGACAGGTAGAGATACTCGATAAAATGACCTACCCATGGCCCATATATATCAGAATTAAACTCAAGTCTTCTGCAAGTAATAGAGGCACAAAGCACCCAATAAAAACACCTACACTGTACTTCTTCCCCTTCATTATCGTTGTTAAAAGGAATAGTGAAAAGTTTAGATCATTTAGAATGGGCTGTCCGTCAGGGCTAATCCTGATAGGTGCGGTATATCCCAACAGAAAGATAAAAACAACTGACAAAAAATTCTTATTAAATTTTCTCACATGGAAATCAAACTCACCTCGTTAGCATACAAAGTAAAGACTAGAGCCCCAAAATTACAGCTCAGGAACCAGTCTTGGCCCTAGACCTTGAAACGGACGTATCCTGTGTTTAGTGGTACAGTGTAGTATGGGTTTGAAGCCCTTTACAACACTAAGGTTGTTTAAGAGGCATGATTTCAAATGAAAGTCCATCTCTGCTAAGAATAAGGCAGCCAAGTAGTGGGAGAGTCTATAAAACTCCCTAAACAGCTGAAGTTCAAGTTCAAGAACATTTCATTGGGAATTTGAAATATGCTCATCCATACAATAACCGAGCATGATTGATATCAGCTAAGTAAACACTCAGCCCTTACGCCCAGCATGCCGTATAACGTCAACAAAGGTAACAATTATTTCATTTTAAGCATCAAAAAACCTACAACACATGATTATTAGAAGACAAAATCAAAACCTGAACCATATCATATAGTTCTCATTGTCTTTATTAAATTCATTCTATCTGCATAAACAAACAGAAAATAAATATATATATGTGCTGAACCTGTATTAAAACAGGAGACGCTATAACATGAAAACAGAGATATCACTGAGAAAAAAGCAACAATATAAATAACATTTGTCTTAAGTTGTATTACTCTCAACAATGGCACCAGTTTCTGCATACCAGAAGAAAGGTTACATGTATTTATATACCACGTTTTTTTATACCTTGGATCTGCTGGATATTGGCAATTACATATTTAGAATTGCCAGAGAACAAATGCCATGTACAATACATGTACCAAGATCTAGGGTGTCAAAATATATTTGTTTTTTTTGTTTTAGTAGAGGTTTTACGGCGCTCGCAACTGCATAAGGTCATATGAGCGCCAGAAGATTAGAGGTGTTACAAGAGAGTAACAAACATTTTTAAAAAAAGGAGGGGAGATAAGGACCATAGATGTTTGATAGGAAAGAAGAAGCAAACCACACCAAAGCACCCGCCAACCACCCACAAAAATTTATTAATAAATCTGAAGAGTATAATTTGAAAAAAGCAAAAACAACTGGGCTCCCGACCTAAATGATCATGATTTGAGAGAAAGCTAACCCCATGAAACAATGTTGGAGGAAATGAAAGATACTGTCAAACCTCGTTATACTGCCACCCTTGGGATGGGCATGAAGTTGATGGAACAGCGGGGCTGGCGGTTCAACAGTCAACAGGGTTCCTTTGTTGCATAGCTCCGACTGCCGCAACATCAAGGAACATGATACTGCTGTGCCATCTGGGTTTAAAAAGAGTCTTTTTCTTGGGAGTTGGAGATATGCATGTACACATGCATAAAAAAATGTGTTCAGAGCCGAGAGTGCTCTCTCTCTCTCTAGTTGGTTTCTCATGTTTTTCCCGAGGGAGAAAGATTATCAAGTAGCCAATCAGTGGGTGTTGTGCACCATGAGCAGTGTGTACCTCTGGCGGTCAGTTCAGTGGCAGTATAGTGGGGCAAATTTGCAGTAAATTATTAATAAGGACCATTCCGTGACAGTTGGCGGATGGCGGTGTAAAGGATAAAATACCATGTTTATATAGGTGTTCCTTTTTGTTCAGGGCAAAACCTGGCGGTACAACCAGTCCCCGTCGTTTTATGCAAGAAAAATTCTGAAATTATGCAAACTGAGCCCAAAAATGTGAAATTATGAGATTCTGTTAATTTTAACAAAGAATGATAAAGGAAAACAATCAGAAATTATGCAAATAATTATCAAATTTTGCTAAATTATGCGGGGTGCATAAAACAACGGGGACAGTACAACGAGGTATGACGGTATAATAATAAATACGAACCTTAGTTCGAGAAAAGAAAAGTTTTTCAGACCTCCAAGTCCAAGATTTGATTGAGCAAATATAAATAAGAATGGAAAAAGAAACACAAATCAAGTATCTCTCAGTTTCTTATCAGCAGGCGACACGGCTTTCCAACAAACATCTGCTACAAAGCTGTTTGACAAAATTCCCTACCTAAGAATTACAGAGTTCTATATTTGACATTTTTGGCTGTTTTGAGTTAAGATTAAGAGTCATTATCAAGACATTCAAAGAACTGCATTCGCAAAAGCTTGACATAAGATGAAACTCCAAATCTTTTTTTTCGTTTTGGTGAGTGTTTTACTGCGCTTGCAACTGCATAAGCTCGCGTGGCGGCCAAAGCCTACTCTTATGAGTTGATTCTAGACCACCAAGGGATCTTTAACGTGCGCAACGTGCACACAGAACCTCCGAGATTTTTCACCCTTGTCCAAGAAGGCTAGGTGTAGATCTTTCCAACCAGAAGATCAGGGGTGTGGCTGAAAGACAGCAGTAAGGAGCCAAAGAGCAGCAGTAGAAATGCTGCAGAAAGATTTAGGAGCCCAGAGGAGAGGGCAAAGGAGGTGAGGGGGTGGGGGCAGAAAGTGGAGACGAAAGCAGATGTCTCTCCTTATCTTTTCTTGAGGTCATATTCCTCATGTCATGGCGACTCGACTACGTGGGCAGTTGGCGGGTGCTCTTGTGTGGTTTGCTTCTTCTTTCCTATCAAACATCTATCGTCCTTACCTCCCCTTCTTCTTTTTATGTTTGTTACTCTCTTGCAACACCTCTAATCTTCTGGCGCTCATATGTCCTTATGCAGTTGCGAGCGCCATAAAACCTCTACTAAAACTAAGAACATTGCTAGAGAGCAGGAAAGGAGGTGAAAGGAGACAATTTTACAGAAGGATATTTTTCTGTAGCTACCCCGATTCGAATCCGGGACTTTTGAATTGAGAGGCGAATACCTTAACCTCTAGGCCACGAGAGCCCCCACCTCAAATCTTTGACGTCAAATTTCTCAAGTCTAGTTACTGAGAAAATAAAACTTTGTAATTCTGAGGTAGCGAATTGCCTCTGACCAGTTGTGGTTTGTGACTTTCTCAGGGAATGGACTGTTAAAGATTTTCTTTTTCTTCCCCATCGGATGAGGTTTTTCATTTATGAATCCAGAGAAACTAATTTTTCAAATGATAGGATTTGGGCACTCAACATTTATACACATAATGACTTTCCGAACGGCTTAAAAGTTGAAAAAGTGTCACGGTCAATGTGTTGCATTGATCTTTTTGAAATCCACATAAAGCAGAATGATGAGGGAAATCAAAGTCAAAGACAGAGGTCAGTCTTGGGAAGGTGAATAGTTTTGATAAAGTGTGCTCATTGAACTTTTTGTCCCGTCTGAAAAATCCAGAAAAGGAAAAGTTTAAGAAGGCCAAGACATTGCTTCAGCTCTGTCATTGTAATTCCTTTCTCTGAACAATAACCCCCCCCCCCCCCCCCCCAGCTTTTTGGGTGATCCTCCATCCACCTCTGTGTACCCGGGAAGCTGAAGAAATTCCTCGCATACCGTTTTGTTTCACTGAGTAACCGCATCAGCAATGGAGTGTAGAAGAACAAAGGAAAAAAATGAGCTGGCTTAGTGTACTCTCTCCCAATGTTTTGAGATTTTCTAGCAGTGAACACAGGAGAGGATCTCTTGGCCTGTGAGTCTCGTCATAACCGACAGCATTCCATTAAAACACATCATTTGTACAGGTATCTAGTTCAACGTACCTTCAATGCATTAGTCAAAGTCGTAGATGTAAGACAAGACCTCGCCCCAGCACGGTTTATGACCAATTCTTTCTCCTCACAGCTACTTCCACTGTCATGGGGAATGTCAACTTCATCTTGACTATCACTTCGCTATCTTAGAATTACAAAGTTCCATCTGACATTTTTGGCCAGTTTGAGTCTGAGTAAATAAAAGACTATGAGGTCAGAAACCAAATGGCATATGTTCTCTCTGCTCTATCAAAATCATAAGAATATTCTGAGTCATTTTCAAGATATCCAAAACAATGCATTAAAAAAAGCTTGGCATGTTGTGAAACTCAAAATAGACGTCAAATTTCTTAAAACTAGGTACTAAGCAGTTATAACTTTGTAATTCTAGAGTAACGACTTTCCTATGAGGAAACAACTCACTAATGTTGAGGGGCTTTCCTGTGTCTGTATACAACGGCCCAGCACCCCTATCTCGGACATCGAGCGTTTAGAGGGGAAACAGGTTCGGTAACAAACTCCACTGTTCGAGGTTTTCATAATTGTATAACCTACTTTGCTCCACATTGATCAATAGCAGGAGAGGACGTCAAACTCTCGTGTTGCAACAAGACGTTCTGCTGAAATTGGTGTTGTTGCAATCATACAGCTATTTTCAACTGGTGTCAAAGAACATAGAGTTCACATACATGATTGCAAAAGTCAAGCGTTGCAATGGCGATATGTCAAAGAGGCTTTATATCACAAAGATCAGGGTCAACAACAGTCAAATGATACAAGTCAAATGAAGAAAGCAGAGTTGAATGTCTTTGTTCTTAGTTCCTTGGGGACCTTCTTGTGACTATATGGGCACTGGGGAAAGAAAATGATTCTTTTATTTCAGTAAAGAGAAATGCATTGATACAAAATCAGTTATTTATTGCAAAAAAACAAACAAAGCAGACAGACATAAAGAGAAAAAGGATCGTAAAGATCATGTGGGGCCTGCAAGACACAGGTAAAAAGAGACAGACATATACCTCAAAGCAGAATTAAAACAATAGACATGGTAATGGTACACAGAAAATGTGTCAACACATACTGAAGAGGCAAAAAAAACCAGAAATAGGGTTACTTTGTCTTGCCATAAAGTCGTCTCATCGAAATCAGAGCATGAAAATTGTCTTCAAGTCAAGATTTTAAAAATAAAGCCAAAGATATCCAAATATCAAGCATATCCATAAAATCATCCGCTACTACAAGAATGTTCTTCAGGATGAGAAAACAATAGTCAAGACCTCTTCAAATGTTTTATGTATGCCCATCAAATGTCAATGACAGACAGGGCAGTCAGGGGGGTATTAAATACAGCACTCGTCCCTCACATAGCGGCTCCATTCCTCACTATCCCTAACATAAGGGCTCCATTCCTCATATAAGGGCTCCATTCCTCATATAAAGGCTCTAATCCTCACATAAGGGCTCCATTCCTCACTGTTCCTCACATAAGGGCTCTAATCCTCACATAACGGCTCTATTCCTCACTGCCCGTCACATAACCATAAATGGCTCTATTCCACTGTTCCTCACATGAGCCTGAAAGTGTTGCTACAAGATAATGTCAACATTTGTCATTTCATTTCCCAAATACAACTATATGATGCATTGACAAACCGCTACCTTAAAATTACAAAGTTCTATCTGACATTTTTGTCCGTTTCGAGTTACTAAGACCATGAAGCCAGAAACCAAATGTTCCACCTGCTCTATCAAAATCGTAAGATTATTCAGAGTCATTATCTAGATATTCAAAAAATTGCATTAAAAAAAGCTTGATATTCTAGGCTTAGTGTGAAACTCAAAATCTTTTACCTCAAATTTCTCAAAACTATTCACTGAGCAGATAAATCTTTATAATTCTAGAGTAGCGATTTGTCATTTCATTACACCAATAAAACTGCATGACGCATTGAAAAACACTAACAGTAATTTTCTTTCTAATCTAATTCTGCTTCATGATTACTCTTTCTTTACTCACATGCCTACACGCGTTACCACAACAGTGGCCCCGCCGGAGGTGAGACAGCCGCGTGATGACATCGTAGCCGGTGCTTGGGTCACGGTACATTTCCTGGCCTTCCTGGGGAAAAAAAACCAAACTTGACAGAACTCTTCAGCTCTTCAGGGATTCTTTTCAACATAACAAACCCAAAATGCTCATCAGTAAGTGAACAACTGGTCATTGCTGAGCCTGTGACAAGCGTGCACATTAAACAAAAAGAAAGTACGGGAAACCCCGTTATACTCTATCGCCTACCTTAGACTAGGAGCAAGCATGATGCCGGCGGTATAAGAAAATGGGATAACGCCAATTGCCATCTTGACTAGAGGTACATTAGTAGAGAAAAAAGACAAACTGTCGCCAGTCTTGACACAATGATCTAGGTAGGGCCTAGATGATTGCCATACGCAGGGGAAAAATGAGTAGCAACCATTAACGTATTCAGCTCCAACTGAACTATACATAAATTCAAATTGAACATTTCTGTGGGATCAGAAGCCAGGCAATGCTTTGAGGACTCTGCGGAAGTACAGGTTTGACTATTTTTATATACATGGCTGAGAACTTTTACAACTGGTAAATAGTGAATTATTTCCTTTTTAATTTATAAGACAACAAAATTATAAAACAGAACAGCTACTTGGGGATTGTTATCAAATTACACAAAATTAAATTGTTACTCCTTCTGCAAAACTACAAAATAAGACAAAGGCAGAAACTTTTAAAAACAAAGCCTTTGCATGTAAATAACATCATGAAACATCATAAAAGTAGCTTTCTACTTTCAGTTCTCAATGCACTAAACTGCTTCACATTTTAACTTAACGCTTTGCAGTCACAAAGCCAGCAGTACAAAATACCCCATCTGGTCATCCAGCCTGGAGAGTGACTGCAATGGATTACGCGGGCCTGTCACACAACTGCGTCAAGTGACCGAAGCGGATAATTTTCACCGTCACATTATAGTGGCAAGTGATTGCAAAGTGTTTTAAGTAATTTAAAAAGACAAGGACTTTCTTTGACCAAGGAAAATTATCTTTACTTTAAAGAGCTTCTTGTGTCCCCAACTCAACCTTTTCTCCTCACCCTCAGAGCTTCCACGTGCTTCTCATGAATCAGCCTCTCCTCAGCACTCAGTCTATCCAGCTTCACAAACCGTATGAAAGACAACAGTTTCCTATCTGACACAACAACCGGATCCTCACAGTCCTCCACAGCGCCACTTCCTCCAGGGTCCTCAACACACGACACAGTCGCTCCAGCCCGCTGTTTCATGTATTGTTTCTCGCTTAACAGTTTGTCAGTTTGCTTCAGCAAAGTCTTGGAAGACATGGTAAAATGTTTTGTAGCGGCTCTTCTAGCAACATCAATTTGCACAGTCAGGATCCCAGGACTAGAGAGGAATCTGCAGAGACATAGACACGAAAAGCACCTTGTGTTATTTCTTTATCTCTGAATATATTCTTCACATACTTTTTATGAGCCTCTGATAAATACCCAGACTTCAAATTATATTAAAGGAATAAGAATCCAAAAACAGGTCACCCATGTTTTTGCTTTCTCCTCCTGAGAAAGAATAATAAAAAGTGACAAGTTCAATTTCCTTTAAGGCACTCAGGAGAAAATTCTAAGACTGGGGCATAATACAAGCCATGTGCTACGAAAGCAAGGGCAGAACCTGAAATATGAAAAATCAAGTGGTTAAGGAAAAGAGAAAGTTTCCAAAAACATGGCTCGTAAGCTAAACATATTCTACTTTTGTTTATTCATGTATAGTGAGAGAACCCTGCACGATTTTTAATTTCATTTTCACATTCACATCGAGAGTGTACATGACAGCCTATGAGATCATTATTCAAAAATTGCTATTATTGGGTTTTTAATTCCTCCTGCCAGCATGAAAAACAAAGGGATCTAATTCCCAATCTCTCTAGATAATCTGATAATTTTTTAGAAAAGCTGTTTAGTGCAATTGCTCGGTTAACGTAACATTCAGAGACATTCTATGCAAAATGCAGGATCATATATTCATGATGTGTCTTGAAAATGGTGAGAAAACCATTCAGACATTCTGATCCCCCTCCCCAAGGTGGCGTAACTGGTCAGTCAAACAGAATAGCCTCACCTTCTTGTGGTCCCCGTGAAATACATAGCCTAACCGTTCTTCTGCCATCATATACTTTTCAGAAAAGGGAAGACATTGTGGGAACACATCTTTTGCTCAATATTTTGACACCGAGAACACAATCATGCAGTACACTTTCTTGACTTGAAGTATCTGAAAACAAAAAACAAAAAGCAAAAATCAACAAATGGACAAAGAGTATAGTATAATTTACTTTTTACATATGATATATATTCCGGTTAAATGATCGTAGAAAAACAAAAGATTTACAATCAAGATTTCCCCAGCAGTACAAACAAACAGAACAGTAGACTGCATCCAAGATTCAAAATTCACAGTCAAAGGATACAGCAATCTTTCTCATTCTTCTTTGCATTCTCCTTAGGGCCTGTACAGTGGAACTCGGATTCAACTAATTCGGATTCAATGAAAACTCAGATTCAACTAAAGAGTTGGATTACCTGATTTTTCAAATTCATAATTTAAATCAATAAAAATAACTTGGATTCAATGAGCAAGCTCGGATTCAACAAAGTTGCTTGCAGGATGAAAGGCCGCCACTGACGTGGCTTCGCTCATAATTTTTCTCTCACAACGAACCATGTCTATTCCTGGAAACCATCCTTGGTACTGCATCATGAACCATTATTCGCTTTGTCTATTGTTTATATCTTATGCGACCAATCAGCAGCCTTCTTCCTTTCATACCAACTTGTAACATTACCAAGCACACATGTCTTAGCATCTGTCAGGGTTGGACGGGCAGCCAGCACACGTATTGTGACTCATGACATGTGACAGTTTGTGCATGTGTCTGGGGGAAGGAAGCACTTGTAAGCAGTCCAGGCGTGGAACGTCAGTAGAGATAAAAGTAAACGAGACACAGTTATTTTTTTCCCTGGGCAACTGATCAATATAACAATGATAAGCAAGTCTTGACATCATGTAATGCAGTGAATTGCACGTAGGACTGAGGAATCAAACGTTGCTGTGTATGCTAGGCTCTACACAGGAGCATTTTATAACTTGTTCAGCAAACAGTACGTAGATGATACAGACACAGACGTGCATTTGCACTAATTGGCCATTTTGCACCCTTGGCAGTCCATCCGATAGACTTTCGTAAATATTGTGAACACCCCCCCCCCCCCCCTCCAATCAGTTAAAAAAATGCAAAATAAATTTTTTTCGTGACTTTCTTTTATATTTCCCCGAGCCAACTCATCCGGTTAGCAACAAGCTGAGCTTAGTCAAATCTGCGGATTGCGCTTAAGGAATGATCTCAGGCTACTCAAGGCCTACCGCAGCCAGACTTCAGGCTGGGGTGGAAAGTCGCGGATCCGGGGAAAACTGAGAGGAGGGCATGCATGCTGGAAGGACTTCCGTTACCAGCGACCACCCCAACAAACACAATAAAAATGAGACCCAACCCTCCTACTCCTTTATTCTACTCTGTCACATTTATACTAGATTCTAATCTAGATCTAGATCTAGATCTAGAATCTAGATCTAGATCTAGATCTAGATCTAGAGTCTAGATCTAGTGATCGCTTGTTACAGAAGTCCTCACAGCATGCCTCCTGTTTTAGATCTAGATTCTAGATCTAGATCTAGATCTAGATCTATCTATCCCATGGTTTGATGTTTTAATTTCGCTTAGGTTTGAAATTTTCTAAAAAATAACTGATTTGAGACAGTTTTAGATTCTAGTTTTGTGGCCGTGTGATCTGCATCCAAAAATACCGATAGTGATAGGCCTACTGCAGTTTGACCGCCCAAAGTTTTCAAAACAAAGTTAACAAAGTACAAAGTCAAAGTTTGAACTCAAAGCTCAAAACTCAAAGCAATGAGTAGATTTAGATCTAGATTTTTAGATTAGATCTAGGAGCAGTGCGCTGCAAAGAGCGAAATGCTCGCTGCTAAAGGGATTTGAAAACAACATCAACAACATGAGCAGTGTATCTCTGTCATCTGTGTGCGGGAGTGAAAGTAAACATTTTGAATCTACATTTCTTCAAATTGACCCATCAAAAATTGATGAGCATAAATTTGAAATAAAACAGGCTTCACATGCTTCTCTAACCGTAATTGTAGTTTTATAGATCAATTAAGTCATACTTTAAATACAGCAGTCGATACACAGCGTCGCCGATTTCAGTAGTAGTATTAATATTGAATCTTGAGGCTTGAGGTCTTGGACCTTGGTGAAATTAGTAAGAAAGAGTTATCCCTCGTAGATATTGTAAAATAGGAAGCAGAGTAAATAAATAGATGAAACAATATGTAATAACATAATGCACAGCCAATTTTAAATTGGAAATTGAAAATATTAAGTATTAAAAACAACCAGAATCCTAAAGAGAAAACAGACTTAAGGTACAGTCTTTAATGCTGATTATTATTAAGTCATGAAGAAGAAGGAGAAGAAGAAGAAGAAGAAGAAGAAGAAGAAGAAGAAGAAGAAGAAGAAGAAGAAAGAAGAAGAAGAAGAAGAAGAAGAAGAAGAAGAAGAAGGAAGAAGAAGAAGAAGAAGGGGCTCTATAGGCCTAGAGGAAGGTGTTCGCCTCTCATTCAATAGGTCCCGTGTTCGAATCTGGATAGCGACAGAGAATGTTCTCCTCTAAAATTGTCTCCTTTCACTTTCTTCACTGCTCTCTAACAATGTTCTGTCGTCTGCTTTCGTCAACACTTTTTCAAGTTTTTGCCACCATCCCTTCACCCCCTTTTCCACCTCCTGATCTGGGCTCATGACTCTATCTGCAGCCTTCTCCTTGACTCCATCTTACTGCTGTCAGCCCACCCCTGATCTTATGGTAGATAAGTTCTACACCTAGCCTTCTCGGACACGGGCAAAAAAACTCGGAGGTCCAGGGGGCAAGTTGCGCACGTTAAATAGATCCCATGGTGGTCCAAAATCATTAAGAGTAGGTTTCGGCCGCCACCCGGACAAAATTCAAAATTTCCTACCATCTGAAAATGTTTGATATGTCCCGTGGGCTCATACACTATAAATATGATGACCGTATGCAATTTCGAGCACGTAAAACACTTACTGCACAAAAAAGGAGGAGGAGGTTGAGCAATGTATGTTTCGTGATTTATGTTTCATTTCCCTCATTTGCAGAAGACAGATTTTAACGAATATGCGAAAGCGATTAGCAAAACACAATGCGGAAAGAAGCATGGGAGAATATTGTAGCATCAGGCAAGTTTGATGGAAAGAGAGGCAGAGGCAGACAGAGGGAAAAGATACGGGACAAGATAACAACATGGCTAGGAGCAGCAAGAACAACAGACATCATTGCTACAACACAAGACATGAGAGAAGTGGAGGTTCATGATCGCCCACGCCAGTCGGCAAGGCACGGATGATGATGATTCCCTCTTTGGTGCAGAGAGGCTAATGAAAAAGACTCCAAATTAATAATTATCACCAGTAAAGATGGGAAAGGGAAGACAACAAAAAGTTACGTTAGAGCTCGGAACAGCTTAGTGCACTTATAGTCATTATTACTCTTTATTCAAAGAAATAAACTTACGAGAGTGACACTTCTAAAGACTAAAAAAAAAAAGAAAGCACACACACACAAAAAACAAAACACACGTCAACAGGTGAAAGTTTGAGAGCAAAATGTAAGTAGATCTAAATTTATAAGTTTTTTTCTGCTATGTGGAATATGTTATAGGCTAAGCTTATTCTGGACAGAAGTAACTAGCTGTTATATCATTTATTTTTTAAATGACTAATGCGGGAACAAAACCAAAGATTACCAGTAGACTACAGCCTTAATGGAAATGATAATCAGCCATTTTTATTAATTAAATTTTAATGGTGCTTGAAACCGACCCCCGCCAATTTACATAATATAGTGTACGTAGGCTATAGAGGGCTCTGGGGTATAAGAACTAACAAACATAGTCAAAATGATAACAGACAAAGAACAAAGTTGAACTTAAAAGCCTAAAGAGAGGTTGGGGAGGGGGGGGGTGGGGCTTTCGTGGCCTAAAGGTTAAGGTGTTCACCTCTCATTTAAAGTTCCCGGGTTCGAACACGCATAGCGACCGAAACTTTTTTTTTCTTCTCTAAAATTGTCTCCTTTCACCTCCTTTCCTGCCCTCTAACAATGTTCTGTCGTCTGATTTCGTCTCCGCTTTCTGCCCCTACCCCCTCACCTCCTTTGTCCCCACCTCTGAGCTCCAGACTCTTTCTGCAGCCTTTCTACTGCTTCTCCTTGGCTCCTTCTTACAGCTGTCTTTAAGCCACACCACTGAATCTAGATTTAGCATTCTCGGACAAGGGCAAAAAATCTCGGTGTGCAAGTTGCGAATATTAGAGATCCCTTAAGGGCGGTCCAAAATCGATAAGAGTAGGCTTCGGCCGCTACCCGGGCAAAATTCAAAATTTCCCATCAACTGAAAATGTTTAGTGTGTCCCGTGCGCTCAAATGACCATTATGCAGTTGTGAGTGCCGTAAAACACTTACAAAAAAAAAAGACTAAAGAAAAAGTAACTTAATCGGCAAAAGATTTATTTGGTTTATAAACTACCGTACATTCTTCTTTGTCTCCTTAGTTTCAATGGGGAAAACAAAACACAACCAAATAAAAAGCAAAATGAAATACCCCTCCCTCCCCCCTTTTCAACAAAGAAACCCCCCAAAAAATCGATCCAAAGGGGGGACATATCTCGTTCTTATGCACAGTAGAATTGTAAATGGGCTGATTCATCAATGTCATTCTCATAGCTGAGCCTGAACTACAACAGGGAACTGCTGGGTTTTTTTTTCTTTCCTAATCCCTACTACCGTCATTTCCCTCTACTTCTTTAATATGTTGGTCACACCCTTGTGACCCGCTATTTCCGGGGTGCCTTGAAAGTCGAAACAGACTTTGTGCTGTTGAAGCTAGAGAGGTGAGTGAAGTAAGTCTGATTCCCTGTAAAGACTTCTCTTCTGACATCCACCCCTTGGCGCTCATATGACCTTATGCAATTGCAAGCGCTGTAAAATCTCTATTAAATTTTTAAAAAAAATCGATGGCCATAATAATGAAAGTGTTATCCGTCAACTTGACAGTGTAAACAAAAACAAACATGAAACTCGTTTTTGTTTGTTTGTTTGTTTGTTTGTTTGTTTGTTGTTGTTGTTTTTTTTTTTGGGGGGGGTGGGGGGTTGCGTTATGGTTGTTTTCACTTTTCACTTTCAAAAGTATAACAATGCGAATACAGTTTGCTTTAAAACGACAATAAATTTAAAGAAATAAGTCCAGCCGCTAATCCAGAGAAGCGTTAAACCACCATTCGATATTATTGGAGACGGCCAAGGAAAACAGAGTTATGTTCATAGTAGGCCTATCCTTAAAGTCTTTCTTTAAAAAAGTATTGCACTGATGGCATTGAAATGACACCGGTAGATACAGACGATTCCAGAAACAATGACCCCTCGCCCTCCCCTTTTATTCCCTTAAAAATTATTATGGTGAAGATGAAGACATCCATTAAAACAAAGACTCCCCCCCCCCCCCCCCCCACACACACACACCCTTCATCTGCTCTTATATTATTATAATAGACGATGATGTTGGTATTTCAAACTTCAAATTCGACAGGGGTGTGATATCTTGCGCGTGTGACATTGCTCATGGCATTGCATGCGGGAGACACGAGGTCAATTCCGTAGCGGGAATGTTAATTCATCGAATACATGTATAACCGTATTTGTTGAAACTCTTGGAATAAGAGGGCGTTCAAAAGTCTCGACAGTGGTGACAAAAGCAGGATGGCCAGCAGATGGGGGGCTCTCGGCCGAGAATAATATTATGGTCACTGCTACTTTGATTTTACGCTACCTTAAAATCACAATTTTCTATCTGACATTTTTGGGCAGTTTCGTGTTACTAAGACCATGAGGACAGAAACCAAATTAAAATAATACATGTGTAAATTAATGTTCTATCTGCTCTATCAAAACCGTAAGATTATACAGAGTCGTTATCAAGATATTCAAAGAATTACATTTGAAACTCAAAATGTTTTTCATCAAGTTACTCAAAACTGAGTAATGACCTGATAAAACTTTGTAATTCTGAGGTCGCGATATATAGGCTTTATTTTGAGACCTTTTTAAAATTTTTGATATCTTGAATCAAAAACAGTTTCGTCTTTTTAGAGACAAGTTTCTTCTACAAGCAAATGAAGCAAATGTCATTGTCAAGTTGGAGTGCCAACCAAAATTCAGCCAATGCCGCAAACTGAATCGAGGCCTGAACATAGTTTTGAACAAGTGCAAGTGTCTATTGTCGTTAATGTTAAGTTCCCGACCTTGACCGACCAGTAATCGGTAAAATCGTTGAGTAACACACATTTAGATTACAAGTTTCTCTCTCTCTCTCTCTCTCTCTCTCTCTCTCTCTCTCTCTCTCTCTCTCTCTCTCTATCTATCTATCTATCTGTCTATCTATCTATCTATCTGTCTGTCTATCTATCTATCTATCTATCTATCTATCTATCTATCTATCTATCTATCTATCTATCTATCTATCTATCTATCTATCTATCTATCTATCTATCTATCTATCTAAATCTATCTATCTATCTATCTATCTATCTATCTATCTATCTATCTATCTATCTATCTATCTATCTATCTATCTATCTATCTATCTATCTATCTATCTATCTATCTATCTATCTATCTATCTATCTATCTATCTATCTATCTATCTATCTATCTATCTATCTATCTATATATCTACCTCACACACATAGGCTACATAATGGCACTAAATTAATTTCAACTGTCGACCCACAGTAAATGATACATTTCCAAAAAAACCAAGTACAGACAGATATAGAAATTAATTCGCACCAGCTGCAGTGAGGTTACTGAACACACAGTGTTACAAATGAAGCAGAGAGAGAGAGAGAGAGAGAGAGAGAGAGAGAGAGAGAGAGAGAGAGAGAGAGAGAGAGAGAGAGAGAGAGAGAGAGAGAGAGAGGGGGGGGAGAGAGGGGAGAGAGAGAGAGAGAGAGAGAGAGAGAGAGAGAGAGAGAGAGAGAGAGAGAGAGAGAGAGAGAGAGAGAGGGGGGGGGTTGTCCCTGCACGTGAGACATGTACATTGTATTTTACTATTGTCCTGTCTTGTCGTGCGTATGCATTAGTGCCCCTTA